TTCTACAAATAGTATGTATCACCAAAAAAAGAATTAAAAATTGAGATGAAAGTATAACTAATAATAACAATTTTCATCTTATATATTATGTAAATGATTGGAAAACTTTTTCACTTTTTACAAATAGCAGGTGTTATCAAAAAATATTCTAAAATTGAAATAAAATTGTAATGAATAGAGACCGTAGATATTAATCTTATATATTACGTAAATGATTGAAAAGCATACCATCATAATCAAAGACTTTTTGCCAATTTCCTCTTAACATGGGTGTAAAGGCGTTACAACGGACTTTCTCCAGGATCGTAAGATGGAAAGCCAATAATTTCTGCAACAAATAGAATGATTAGTTTTCAAAATCTTTAAATTCATTGTTTCTTCACAAATAGTGCAAAAATGTGTACAAAAAATTCTAATAGAAAATCTCTAATAGTTCGCCAGATATGTCCTCCTAAACATTTAACTCTCGATTTCAAAAATAACACTTGGCCAAAGTTTTCGACAGCTATAACTTTTAAACGAAATCACGTAAGTGGGCCCTTTTATTGTCCACGCAGAGCACAGTATCTCTAGAAAATTTTGATAACACCTGCATCGATATCGGACCATTCAATCGGAAGTTATGGGTCATCCTGTGGACTCAAGAAAAAATAAAAATAATAAAAATAGGGCAAATTGCGCGAATTTCGTCGGCTCTAGCGCAGACCAGGAATGTAACAGTTCCGAATTGTTTCCGTCAAAAACTTCTCACACTTATTGGGCTTCGAACGAGCCATGTTTCGTATGTATGAGACGTCATGCTGCGGAACTATGAATTTTCAAAAGCGGCCATGTAAAAAGATATAGGAAAAGGTAAAGCACACGTGAGTGAGTATGATTATAGGGGTAGAATGGAGTAACAGTTTCAAAAATATTCAAAGGGAGTGAGAAGAGGGTTGTAGGAGAATTTTGGGTACTAGTAGAAGGAAGACAGGTAGAATAAAAGGAGAGAGTGGAAGGGGAGGGTGTTAAAAACGAATAGAGGCACTAAGAATAAAAAAAAGTTGTGGGATTAGATGGAATTCCTGGGATGGATGGTATGCAATAGATATAGTATTGGGGAAATTATACGAAATTATGATAAGGATATGGGAGAGGCATGGAAGTGTAACAAGGGATAGTATCAAAAATAAAGAGCTATTTAATTATTGAATATAGGTCATAAAATATACACAAAGATAAGAAGAATTAGGACAGACAGAACTTTCGTTTACTCCGTTAATAATAAAATTCCTTGTACTTATTCTAAATGCAAATTGTACGAGAATGAGTAATGATGAGAGATTGGATGATTGTTAAGAAAATAAAGGTGACTGAAAGGAGTGAAGAACGGTGCAATGAGGGTTGTTGGAAGAAAGGAAAGGAATATAATGATACATTGAATAGATAGAGAAGGGATGGATGTGCAGAAAAATAGCATAAAAAACAAAGATTTAAGTACAGTAAATACAAGGAAAACACATTGATAAAATAATAAATTAGTTAAAGGGGCACAAAGGGGTGTTGGAAAATAATAAACAGGTATAGGAAAAGTTATAAAGCACAAGTATCTGGGTAACATTATGGGGGTGCAATGGATTAAACAATTTAAAGAATATTCAAAGGGAGTGAGGAGAGGGTTGTAGGAGAATTTGGGGTACTAGTAGAAGAGGAGGGAGTTAAAAAAGGAATAGAAGCGCTAAGAACAAAAAAAAAACAGTGGGATTAGATGGAAATTATGGTAGGGAAGTGTAGCAAAAGATAATGTCAAAAATTACAGAGCTATTTAATTATNAAAGGGAGTGAGGAGAGGGTTGTAGGAGAATTTGGGGTACTAGTAGAAGAGGAGGGAGTTAAAAAAGGAATAGAAGCGCTAAGAACAAAAAAAAAACAGTGGGATTAGATGGAAATTATGGTAGGGAAGTGTAGCAAAAGATAATGTCAAAAATTACAGAGCTATTTAATTATGGATATAGGTCATAAAATATACACAAAGATAACAAGAAATAGGACAGACAGAACTTTCGTTTACTCCATTAATAATAAAATTCCTTGTTTTATAAATGCAAATTTTACGAGAATGGGTAATATTTATTTATTTTAACGTAACACTGAATTTGAAAAAATTAATATATTTCAGTGAATTTACCCAAATAGAGTTGCAAGATTTGATTCTTTAAATTAAAATTGTTAGTTAATTTTATATTCAAATCAATGTTCTTACAATAAAACGGTTACCTGCAACTACATTACAGTTACGTTATCTTGAATTAGCCGCATGACGTAAATAAAATTCTTGATTAAAGGAAAGGTCGTTAACTATAAATGATATAACAAAGCCTACGTACAAATAAGTAACAAAAGCTTTTCTAATGGTAGAAACTTTTAGTTATAAAAATTTGTTCAAAATTTCCAGGATCGTAAGATGGAAAGCCAATAATTTCTGCAACAAATAGAATGATTAGTTTTCAAAATCTTTAAATTCATTGTTTCTTCACAAATAGTGCAAAAATGTGTACAAAAAATTCTAATAGAAAATCTCTAATAGTTCGCCAGATATGTCCTCCTAAACATTTAACTCTCGATTTCAAAAATAACACTTGGCCAAAACTTCGAACAACCATAAATCCGAAGCGGAACCTCGTAGGTGGGCGCTTTTACTCTTGGCGCAGAGCACCGTATCTCTAGAAAATTTTGATAACACTCCCATAGAGATCGGACCACTCAGTCCGGAAATAGGGACCATCCTGTGGCCTCAGGAAAACACTAAAACGAACAAAAAGCAAATTGCACGAATTGGGTCGGCTCTAGTGCGGACCAGAAGTGGCAAAATTTAAAATTGCTTCCGTCGAAAACTTGCCGCATTCATTGGGCTTCGAACGAGCCCTGTTTGGCACGGATCGGACGTACACCTGCGGTGCTATGGATTTTTAACCGCGGCAATGTTCGCGAGCGCACAGCTCCTAAGTTTGACGTTTTGCGAGCTGTAAGTGGCAAACGGTAGGACCAATCGGAAAAATTTCCTTGGTTTTTATTAATATTATCTACAGTTTCTTTGTTTTCCATTGTACGAATTTATTAAATTTATTATTGCCGTATCTATTAGAGATATAGGGACGTCTTTGTGAAAACCATCTTCGCAAGCCAAACGGCCCAAAGTGACATGCCGTAAACTTTCTTCGGTTGGTGTGTAATATTTTATATGATATTAGCTCTCTAGCTAATCAGCAAACCATTTTATATGAAATAAGTTTGACTCCAGCCAATTAAATGTTGATCCGTTAGATGCTGCTCTNTTGCTAAATTCAATAAACAGATTAAGTTTCGATAGCAATTATATAAATTATACAGTCAAAACAGTGTTTTAGTGTCAGTATAAAAAAATCATTTCCAAAAAGTGCAAAACATCCACCCACTATTAAGCCTACGCGCTGCCTGTAAGTTAAACGCCGATATCCCGTATTTCAGTACACCGCGTCATGCCGGAACATGTCGAGATGTATTGAGAGTACGAGAAAGCGACGTGTTAACTATACAGGAAGAACGAAGTATTAATCGTAGGCTAGTAATATAGGCCGGGCCACCGGCAGCTTCCCAGCTGCATACCCCGCTATTTGCACAGTTAAGGCGCCCTCCGTGTGCAGCGGGTGTACTACAGCCAGCATCTCGCATACCGTATTACTACTTGCCTGCCTCTTGCCTAAGCCAAGTATATGTATCTAGTTTCTTGCTTGAATGTGCGGTGAGCAGTTAAAAATAAAGACATATTTAACGAAAACTATTAACAATATAAAACTAAAATTTTTACACAAAGTACTTATCGATATTTGAAAACGATTTGTAGAGTAAATTTTGCCTACAGTACTTGTGAAGGCTAAAAATCATAGTTTTACTAAAACCACGAAAAAACGCTTAATATTAACTTATAAAACCGAAAATTGTTCAATATGTACTAGTTTACTGAAGCAATAATCCATGCAAATGCAAAAACCTACATGCGATAGAAATATTTGGAAAATCACCTATTTTACTAATAAAATGCAAAACATACCTAATTAAATTGTTGGATGGACTATAACTTATAAAATCACATTATCCTGTATGATACCATCGCTCCAGATTTGATTAATATCATAAATACACACACTTTTCAAAATATTTATACTTAAAACAAAACTGTTTAGTTTCCACATAAACACGGAAATTTCCACCTAACCGTCCGCGCAAACGTTGGATCTTATTGCTGCCTACCAACGAACTGACGTGTGGGCGTTAATCGTAAAAGGCGCTAACGGCTGACGCATCGACGAGCTTTATTACCGAGAGCTTTCGAATTACTGTTCGGCGCTACGTTATGACTAAAACTTTAAAAAATGTTTTGGACGGAAAATGTTGTTAACTACATTTAATTCGAAAAGTACTACCTAAATTGAAACAGCAAAAAATAGAAATTTGATACTAATGATCGTTGTCAAACATTTCAAAATACGAGAGTTAGTAACAAATATCAGTAGATGGCGAATGATTCAATTTTCCGTAACTAAGGAAATGGGCAATTTAAAATAAAAAACAAAAGCTTACCATCGTAATCTCAATAGGCTCAAAACTCGCTTCTGTTGATTCTCTTTCAGGAAATGATATTGACAACGAATACCAAAACAAACTGTAACAAAATAAAAAATTAATCTTCGAATCATATACCCCTACGTTTTAGGTGATGCCAAAAAAAAGTGTTAGCGCTTAGGTACGGATGATCAAGTCGATTCCTTGTTGACTCTAGACTATTTGTGCAATCTATACAACAATATAAGACGATTTGTTCACATTTATTATCAAGTAATTGATATTCTAAAACAAAACAATTAACGCATGAAAAACTCGAAGAATGTCTATGCCACCTAATCGCAAAAGATAATTCGATCTTGAATTCCATGAAGTGAAGTATGAAATTCTGAAATTCTTTTATAGTGTGGAATCTTGAAATTTCCTTGTACTGATAAGAAAGCACTCCATTTAAAGGAAAAAAGGACCCCATTGCCACTAATACAGTAGAATGGTTCCAGAGTTTGTATTGACGTTCATACTTGGCACAGTTTTCGTCAATGGAAAACTGTACGAAATCCCAAATAATTTCTCACTAGGGGTTGCTATCTCGTCCTATCAAAGTGAAGGAGCGTGGAATGTGAATGGTAAGAAAAAATTAAGTAAACAATTTAGTAGGTATTATATATGCGAATGTAAGTTTGTTTATTACCATTTTACACCTTAAATACTCAATTCATCAACATGAAATTTTCTACATATATTCTTAGGGGTAGATAAAAGAACATAAGCTACCGTTTATCCCTGTTTCCGAATTATAAAAAAATTTCTTTTCATCTCGATATAGAAGGACACTTTTTCGAGTTCGAGTTACTGAATTTCGATTGTATTTGATAAATGAGTAATTCTACGCACGAAGGAAGCAAATAAGGTGAATAACGGAATCACATTTTTTTTATATATCATTTTCCGCAAGTAGTTTTTTTTAGGACATTTTAAAAATTTAANTACAATCTCAGTCATCATAAACCTCATTGGCTGCCAAAGTCTTCCAGGAATCTAAATATTAATTTATTTGCAAAATATAAACGCATGTAGGCATATTCCTCATTTTTTGTTTATTAGCATTACGTAACCTCATTGCAATTAATTCGTTATCGTATATGCCTACCATTCCTGCAAAATATTCAGATGTTTAAAAAGTGCTATTAACGTCATTACTTTATTAAATTTTTCTATGATTGAATGATAGGTAAGGGGCAAAACATTTGGGATAATATAACTCACGCTCGTCCCAATTTTACGACGGATCATTCAAATGGAGATGTTGCTTGCGATTCATACCATAAATGGAAAGAAGATGTAAAAATTCTAAAAGGATTGGGCGTCAACCATTACCGATTTTCTATATCATGGTCAAGGATTTTACCAACGGGCTTCACAAACGAAATAAATCGAGACGGAATTCAATATTATAACAATATAATTGACGANATTTTGATAGAAAATGAGGAAAAGGCAAATAGGTGGAAACAATATTTAGAGAACCTATACGCAGGTCACGAGTTAGGAGATATATTAGAGAAGGAAGATAGTGTGGAAATAAATGAGCTAGGTTATTCCATAATGAGAGAAGAGTTCGATGTAGCATTCAAAAACTTACAGAATAATAAGGCGCCAGGTATAGATCGGATACAGGGGGAAAATCTAAAACATGCAGGATAAGAGGTTAGAGATCGTATGTTTAGTTAGTCACATTTACGAGGCGAAGGAAGTCTCAGAGGATTATAAATGGAACATGGTAGTAACCATACCTAAAAAAAAAGAGGCGCGGATAGGTGCGAGACATTTAGTACAATTAGCTTAACTTCCCATGCGTCAAAAATTTTAACTAGAATTGTACAGAGGAGAATGGAAAAAAGGGCGAAAGAACTTTTAGGACACGGGGAAAGACCCAGAGGATTATAAACGGAACGTTGTAGTAACCATACCTAAAAAGAGAGGCGCGGATAGGTGCGAGACATTTAGTACAATTAGCTTAACTTCCCATGCGTTAAAAATTTTAACTAGAATAGTACAGAGGAGGATGGAAAAAAAGGCGAAAGAACTATTAGGGGAAGTTCAATTTGGGTTTAGAAGAAATAGAAGAACGTGGGAGGCCGTTCTAGATTTACGGGCAACAACAGAGAAAGCGATAGAAAAAGGAAAGAGTGCGTACATAGGGTTTGTACATTCAGAAGATGCTTTTGACAATGTTAAATGAGACAATATGTTGAATATACTTAAAAATGTGGGGATGAGTTGCAAAGATGGAAGAGTGATACTTGGTTTGTATAAAGAGCAACAAGCAGTTATAGAGTTGGAGCTGCAACGTAGAGAAGTAAATATTAGGAAGGGAGTCAGACAGGGTACGCACAGTCACCGCTACTGTTTAATCTACACATCTAAGTCGCGAAAACTTCACGAAAATTCCTAGACCTTTGATTCCATTCCTGTTACCGTTAATCCTAGTATTATGTTTTAACATAAACATTTTACAATCTCAGTCATCGTCCACCGCATTGGCTGCCAAAGTCTTCCAGGAATCTAAATATTAATTTATTTGCAAAATATAAACGCATGTAGGCATATTCCTCATTTTTTGTTTATTAGCATTATGTACTCTCATTACAATGAATTCGTTATCGTATATGCCTACCATTCCTGCAAAATATTAAGTTTAGTTTTAAAAGTGCTATTAACGTCATTACTTTACTAAATTTTACTATGATTGAATGATAGGTAAGGGCCAAAACATTTGGGACAATATAACTCACTCTCGTCCCAATTTTACGACGGATCGTTCAAATGGAGACGTTGCTTGCGATTCATACCATAAATGGAAAGAAGATGTAAAAATTCTAAAACGATTGGGCGTCAACCATTACCGATTTTCTATATCATGGTCAAGGATTTTACCAACGGGCTTCACAAACGAAATAAATCCAGACGGAATTCAATATTATAACAATCTAATAGACGAACTTATAAAATATGGAATAGAGCCATTGGTCACCATTTTCCACTTCGACACTCCTCAGCCATTACAAGATTTGGGCGGATTGGCCAATCTAGAATTCGCAGAATACGCAGAAGACTATTCAAGAATTCTTTTTAAATATTTCGGAGACAGAGTCAAATGGTGGATTACAATCAACGAACCAATAACATATTGTCAATACGGATACAATGGGTATTTTGCTCCTGCTGTCTTATCAGATGGAATAGGAACCTACTTATGTGGAAAGACCATACTGGTGGCACATGGTAAAATATTTAGAATGTACGAAAGAGAATTTAAAAAGGAGCAAGGAGGTATCTACCTATATTACTTAATATCAATATGTCAAGCACAAAATATAGTTACTAGAGAGAACATAGGGTGATCTAGAGCGATCTTAGACAGAAGTCCGTGTTTTGAGGCAGATCGAAGAAGATCAATACATATTATTAAACATTTTGACATATATTTTCGCTCGAAAATTGCAGAGATTGTTTTAAATCTTTACGTATCTAAAAATTGTCTCTTTTCCCTAATTCTCTCTATTTTTACTCGGGTATGTAGGCAAAAAAAAATGGAAAATGCAACTGATTGATTTTTCAGGAAAAGTGGGTATTACAATAAACACATTATGGTTACAACCGAAAACATCATCTAAAGCCGACATTGAAGCAACAAATCAGGCTATGGAAATAATGGTAAGTTAATTTAATTATTTATATTTATATAGATTAACTACTGTTGTATACTATCAAAAATGATATAAATAATTTAAAAAGATATTTTCAGTTTGGTTGGTGGATGAATCCAATTTTCTCTAAAGAAGGAAACTACCCTAAAGTGATGATAGACAGAATAGGTTACGTTAGTAAAGCCGAAAACTTTTCCGAATCCAGATTGCCTGCACTCACTGCAGAAGAAATAGAATTAATCAGGGGTTCTTTCGACTTTTTAGGTTTGAATTATTATACAAGTAAACTGGTTCTGGCAAATAAAGTACGTCCCTACAATCCACCGTCATTTCAACAGGACTTGGGAGTTGAAATTGAAAATATTCCCGGGGCCGAGCAGAGCGGCGCTGATTGGCTTCAAGTTTATCCAAAAGGCATTAGATTTCTACTGAAATATATCAAAAATAAATATGATAATCCTCCCGTTATAATTACGGAAAATGGGTACCCAAGTCAAGACAGTAAAGTTTGCGATTCAAGACGAACTAATTATATACAGGTAAGAATTTAAAAATCGAATATTTGTGTTATATCTAATAGAAAATACCACAAATGGCGCGGTAAACGCCATCTGTAGTACGATGCTACATTTTAGGATTACGTATGCTCCAACAAGATCCATTTAAATATATGGATATCTATCTATTACCATAATCGAATAAAATAATTCAAACTGGTCTGTATTCTGTCGAAACTGCCAGACGCGAATCGCGATTTCGATCTTTTTGGATCTCATCAGCGCGTCGCAGACAGCTCCGACAAGATCTCAGAGACGTCAGTATACCTCGGAATAATCATTATTAGTTATTTGCAATTAATCGATTACTAGATTAATCGATTGTTTGATTAACTGATCATTTGATGAACTGATTATTGAAAAAACTAGAAATTATGACTATTAACGATTTATTTGTTGGTTAATAATCTCATAGCTTGTTGTTTATTGTAGCTTCTGAAGCTTCCATTTTTTTTTTATCTTAGAAACACTTGATAGAAATTCTCAAAGCAATCCAAGAAGGATGCAAAGTAATTGGTTACACTTATTGGAGCCTGATGGATAACTTTGAATGGACAAGCGGCTACACGTAAATAAAGTCTAATATTTTATTANCAAAATTTAATAGAATATCTTTTGAATAAAATATAAGAAAAATTAATGATTATACTTACACAGTGAAATAATACAAATACGAAAATCACTACTGCAGTGTAAAATTGTTTTTACATACTCGGAAACAATACTTATTCAGTTTAGTAGATTTCACTTTCCCGAAGTGACATGCCAGGAGACAGAATTTTACATTTTGAATGTAATTTTTTTGCAATAAAAATAAGGTGAAGCAGTGTTATTTTGAGGTTCGTACTAGACACAGTTATAGTTTACAATTTTCAATTGGAAAAAACTAATTTTTTTAATTATTAATATACGAAATAAGCTGTGCCGTCTAAAATTCCTTCGTTTGTAGAACTACCCAAATACGTTTATTAAAATGCAACTGTTTAAAGGTAAAGGAGAAAACATTTGGGATCATTTAACGCATACCCGCCGTAATTATTCTTACGACGGTTCCAATGGTGATATTGCCTGTGACTCGTACCACAAATGGAAAGAAGATGTTCAACAACTGAAATATTTGGGTGTTGACCATTACCGATTTTCAATATCATGGTCGCGGATTTTGCCGTCCGGATTTTCAAACGTTATAAATCCCGACGGAATTCGATATTACAACGATTTAATAAACGAACTTTTGAAAAACGGTATAAAACCATTGGTAACGATTTTCCACTGGGACTTGCCACAACCATTACAAGATTTAGGAGGATTAGCAAATCTCAAAGTAACACAGTATGTAGAAGATTATTCTAGAATCCTTTTCCAGCATTTTGGAGATAGAGTTAAATGGTGGATCACTTTTAATGAACCTCTATCTTATTGTTTGTATGGTTATAATGGCGTTGTCGCTCCAGCTATTTTATCATCAGGAGTAGGCTCCTATTTGTGCGGTAAAACTTTGCTTTTAAGTCACGGCAAAATATTCCGACTTTACGAAAGAGAATTTAGAAAAGAACAAGAAGGTAAGTACCTAAGCAGGACTGCGTCGACCGTGGGTTCCAAGTCCCTGTACACAGGTGCAGAGCATCAGGAGGGCTGCAAGGCGATTAATGATAGCCAGTGACAGACAATAATCAAATATATGTAATTAGTTAGAGGGAACGAAATGGTTAGGAATGAGTAGGTATTAAAAAGAGTAGAGAGATCAATGAGCACTATAAAAGTCAATAACGAAAAAAAAAATATGTCTACTAGGACAAAGGGACTTGAACCTTGCGATGAAGCTCTGGTACAAAATAGACTGGGTGAATCGGCTTGAGAGTTTAGATGATTTAGGAAGTCGGGCCATAGGTTCAACCATAATGGGGGGTTCTTAGAGAGAAAGCAGACTAAGACAAATACCTGAAAGAGGGCAGCAGCTCTTTCAGTACTCAGGGTGACAGAGATCACGAGGATCTGTATTAGATTACTGTTCGCAAATAGTTAAGGATGTGCGTTGTTCTAGTTCTAGGAAAATGTGAAGATTGGCACAGGATAGGAAGGGGTAGAGGTGCGTGTCTAACCAGTCTCAGGACTGACGACCTTATGGTGATAATAATGAGACAAAGGGCTAGTTAAATCCACATTAAAAGCAGGAGAAGGAGTAAAGTGAAACAAAGGAAGAATTAGATTATATTACTGTTTATAACTTGTTAGGGATATAGGATGTAACTACTACTTTCAGGGAAATGCAAAATTTGTCTGAGGTGAAGATAGGATTTATTTGAAATGCTTACATTTTAAATGCAAATACAGAATAAATAAAAAGTACCTATTTCTATTTTACATTTAAATATTTTTTTGAGATAAGCATTTTGTATTTTATTTAAAATACTTTCCAATCAGGCATATTTTCAAAATATTCCACAGGTATTTTGCAAATACGTATTCTGTATTTTGCATTTAAAATACAAAAAGAAAACAATTTCGCATTTTACATTTGAAATAGCAAATCATAAAAGTATTTGCATTTTGTATTTAAATACTTTTAGTAAACCATTTTGCCTATATCTAGGCTTAGAATGGGAAAGAGGGAATGTGCGAATGATGACAATAAATCAATCATACTGTTCATCACAGTTGAATATCAATAAGTAACACATTTTGTATTGTTGCACAATCTAAATCAAGGTTTGTTTTTCGTGAGTTAAGGGGAAATCTTTTGCGAATGATTGATTAATATCATCATTTTGTCGTTTTTTGTTTACAAAAGGTCGGCGCGGTCCCATGATTTTGCAAATATAAAAGTAGTGTTGCAGCGGCTGAAAACTTTGTACCAATTTCATGTACATTTTAGGAAAAGTGGGTATAACAGTAAATATAGCTTGGTTCATGCCAAAAACTAATTCGGAGAAAGATAAGGAGGCAGTTGCTAGAGCAAACGATTTTTTGGTAATTAGACAAAACTTTTTCCTATCTTTAAAAGATTAAAAAAAAAACAATTTTTGGACGATTTATAACATTTGTAACCCTGAAAGTTGCCTGAAAACTTTGTTCAACTTCAACAGCAAAATTCACAAATTGTAAAGATATTTTGTTCTTTCATATGTCCAATTTATTTTCTAATTATGAATACCTACAACTATTAAACAATTCAATATTTTCTGAGATTAACGTATTACTTGTTTTTTCTTGTAGTTCGGTTGGTGGATGCACCCCATCTTTTCTAAAGAAGGAAACTATCCAAAACGTATGTCAGACAGAATTGAATATGTCAGCAAGGCTGAGAATTTTTCGGAGTCCCGCCTACCTCCATTTACCAAAGAAGAAATTAAACTTATTAGGGGTTCATACGATTTTTTTGGTTTTAACTATTATTTGGCCCAAGTAATTCAAGATGATCTTGTAACTCCCTACAATCCTCCTTCATTTGATCAAGATGTTGGAGTTGTTGCAACAACAATTCCTGGTGTCGAAGAAACTGAACACAATTGGTTTCCAATTTATCCTCAAGGAATGGGTGATGTGCTTCGGTATATACACAAATTGTACAAGGGCGTGCCCATTATTATCACCGAAAACGGGTACCCGGACAGTGGTCAACTTTCCGATCCAAGACGAATTAATTATATTCAGGTAAAATTTTTGTAAACGAATTTCTCATTAGCAGCAAAAGTTTTACCTAATTTGGAGATGATGAATTGTCATAAAAAAAAACAATAGTGGTATCTAACGACAAAATCTTCTTTTTTTGGAAATCTCTGGTGCTAAGGGAAGCTTCAATGAAAATCATTAAGAAATCCTTAATAAATTAACGTTTTTAGTATATTTGACAATTGACTTGAAACAAAATACTTATTACTTCTGAAAATGCTCCAACTACACTTAGAGAGACCTCAAACATATTTTCGTAGTGGACTTAAGTCATCATCATCATCATCATCATCATCATGTTCGTCAGTCCTAAGACCGGCTGGACACTCACATCCACTTTTTCCTATCCTGAGTTAATCTTCGCATTTCCCTAAAACTAGAACATCCCCTATTCTTAACTATTTGCGAACAGTAACCTAATCTAGGTCTACCTCTACCCCTCTTAACTCCTGTTTCTGCTTCCGACATGTCTCTAACTAACCCTTGATGCCCGAAAAAGTGTCCTATGTATCTACTTCCATAGCGCCCCCTGTTCTCCTACTCTTTCTAATGCCACTTCATTTCTAACCTTCTCTATCCTCATCATTCGCATTGTAACCCCACATTTCAAACACTTCTAAACTGATTTCCTTTATTACTGTGTAAAGGTACATGTATATGGATCATATTAATCATACGTATTATGTATCTATACGAATTTATGAAAAATGAAAATCAATTCTTGTTTGTGTTTTAGCGGCATTTAATAGAAGTTCTTAAAGCAAAAGAAGAAGGGGTTAATGTGTTTGGTTATACTTACTGGAGTTTTATGGATGATTATGAATGGCTTTATGGCTACTTGTAGGTTTATACATTTTTATTAAAAATTAATATCTGAACCTATTTATATTATATTTATGTTTTAGGCAAAAGTTTGGACTATTTAATGTTGATTTTAATGATCCAAATAGAACACGTACTCCGAAGGCATCTGCAGAATTTTTCCGTTTACTCACGAAATACAGGGTTGTACCTTCAGATACTATTGATTGTTAAAAATAAATAAGAAACCAATGCATTCAACTATTTCTGTAAAAGGATTAATTAAAATGGTTAAATATACTTACTTTTCTTTTCTTAAACCAAACTGTTTTTAATTTACAGTTCAATATCAATCAATTTTTAATAAGTAAATTATTCTTTTAATTTTATTCTATTAACAAAAATAGAAATCTAATAAAAGAAAGGATCATGCTTATCAGATTTGTTAATAAAATTACATC